TAACATTCCCTCATTATGTCTTCAACAAAAACTCTGCAGTAATCTGTAAGGTTGATATTTAATCTCATTATTCAAAGTCAGAAACAGAGGGAGAGATTAGATCATCAAAATCACAGTGCCAACCAACAATGGTGCCATGGTAATCCCCCACAGAGGCAGGGACATATCCAAACCAAACTCCAGACATGAAAAAGAATACCACAAATCCTAGCCTTGCATTAACAGAGCAGTAAAGTGAGAAATTAAATAACATAAACATTTTAGTATGCTTGGCAGTTCTTATAAAGCCCCAAACACCAAATTTTCTTGTCATGATTTCAGATGTCAAGTGATAAAAACTTATTTTAAAATGTTCTTGAATAAATAAGGACTGAGAAAAAAACTGAAAGGGAAATATGTTTGTTTGGGTGAGTTGCTAAGCAATCCCACACATGCCAGAGACTCCTTTTGGATTTCCTTCTGAAGGTGGAATCTGTGGGACCGATGGTACTTTGGCTTGCGTCGGCTTCATTGGTTCACACTGGAAAATTAAAGCAAAACAGGAAACAAACAAGCAATTCTCATAGTACTGAAGTCAGAGGTGTGGAGAAAACTAAGTATTAAATTAAGCTAGACTATTTTGAAAGTTGCCTTTCAAATGGCTTCTGAGTGTCCTCAGTGGCACTAACATTAATAGGTGAGGTTTTGTAAGTGTGTCCCCAGAAGAATCAACCACACAGATGAAATAAAACCAAATTGCATTCAGGCTATTTTATCTATTCCACACAGTATTTCAGGTCCTATAGATGCCTGAAATTTGTAATATGGCAATAGAACGTAGCAACCAGATGAAGATAAATATGAGTTGTGCATCTCATTTAATTTAATAAGGGATAACTTCTTCGAAAAACAGAGTTTTACAATGGGTACTAACGGAAGAAATTCGGTGATAAAAGAAGTTTATAACCTCAAGGCCTGCTTGAGCAAAAGCTAGGGAGCTCTGAAGGGGCAAAACATGTCAAAGTAAAAGCAGAAAAAGAATATTAGTAAGCCAGAAAGAATCAATAAATATTTGAGCAGGAAACATATTCAACAGCTGGGGAAGGGTTTAGAAAGACTTAGAAATTAGTACTGAAATTCCTGGAATGTAAGATTTAAAGATGCTATGGATCAAATACTATCCAAGTTACATTACACAAATATTGCTGTACATTTTAAATAATCACATTTTTTTCAATGATTTGTGTTTCAAGTTTCAAGTAAACATACATCTAAGTTTGAATTATGTATATGTGGACACATTTTCCATCAATCTGATCAATCCATCAATCTTTAGAGGACAGGGGTATCATCTTAGAATATTTCAGATTGTGTTTTAAATAGCTGACACTGTAAAAGGGGATGTATGTATGTTATTATTATTCATTACAGAATAAAGTCTGTACTCCTTATCATGTGTCTAAGGCTTCTCATGATTCAGCTTGCCAACCTGCCCCTCCCACACCAGCCTGAGTAGTTTCTCCTCTCATTCCTCCCAAGTCGAAAATCTTCACTACTAACCTGATACTAAATTATATTCTCTGGTCTATTGTTATTTAGATTCAGTGTGTGTATCTCTTCAGTGAGATTATAGCTCCCTGAAGGATCTGTCCAAATAGTATTTTGTTTCATATTTTCTAATTAAAATAATAACGTTACTTATTATGTATAGTTAGCACAGAATTTGAACCCACAAATATTCTCCTCCTTATGTCTCTGTACTCTAGGCCTGCTAGCAGAAAATATTAATAGGAAGAGCAAACAAAAAATGAATAGGCAGAAACTTACTGTCTTCTAAACCTTGAACTCTGGAAAACCAAAATATCCTTGGGGGACAAATATCACAAAACTGAAAGCAGCATTTTGAGCTGGGAATATGATAGCTTCATGTGGGCATAAGCTATTCCAAGGGACCTTGGAGCCCAGAGGAGAAATGGTGGTCTGCAAAAGTTAAAAAAGAAATCTACATGAAGAATTAGGAACTCCCTGTCAGAGTCAGCAGTCTAGCTATGTGGCTTAAATGATTGTATCTGACTAGATTCATTCATTCCCCCAACCAATCTGCAGGGAATACAAGCTCTTTAAGGGTAGGGCTTTTCACTGGTGTCATTGCTTGCACTTTCTCCTGGTGTTGTGCCTGGCACCTAGCAGGTACTCACTGAGTACTTGTTATGGAATCCTCTGACCTGGTCATGGAGTGGTCATCCTCAAGAAGCTCACTCTCTGGTTAGGACAAAGATTTCCAAATATACAATTTCACAGATGAAAATATTTATCATGAATAAGCTATAAGAGTGCATAGTGCCTACACTTGAGCATTTACCCTGTGCTAGGCGGTGTTCCACATGCCCTTACATGTATAAATTCACCTAATCTTCACAACAACCCTATGAGGTGAATATTATTATTATTTTCATATTCACAGACACAATAAAGTTAAGCCACCTGCCCAAGGTCACAGCTAGGACGCAGCAGAGCAGGAACTGAAGCAGGGTTCATAATTAGCACACTGTAGGCACAAAGAGTTAGTCAGATTTAAGGACCACTGATGTTTCTTCTAGACCTGGATTGCAGATGATGGTACCACTGGAGATAACAAAGCAGTAGAAATACCGGGGAAGTGTCTCATGAAACTCTATCCACTTGGAACATATCAGGACTTCTCAAATGTAGGGTGCTCCAGAATTCTTCAAGAACGTACAGAATTTTAGGCCTGAAATTCTGGAGCTTCTGAATCAATAAGGTTGCAGTGGAGACGTAGAATCTGTATTTTTAACAAAGCATCACACCAATGTCGATAATCATATTTTAAAAAAATACGATACTAGACCTATTCAGACATGATTTAGCAGTTCAACAAGACCTATTCTACAGCAGAACACTTTGGTTAAGATACTGCACTCTTTTTTCAGGCCTGGCTCTCCTCTGGCCAGGTGTCTGTTGGGATTTCTTTGACTACCTGATCTGATAATGCTCTGCTGGGGGCACTGACATCTTTAGAAGCTCCTCAGATGACAGGCATCACAGCCCTTACCCAAGACAATTATTTCTGGTTTATTTATCTATCTTCTCTTGATGTGGCTCAGATGGGAAAGAATCTGCCTGCAGTGCAGGAGACTCGGGTTCAATGCCTAGGTCAGGAAAGATTCCCTGGAGAGGGTAATGGCTACCCACTCCAGTCTTCTTGCCTGAATAATTCCATGGACAGAGGATCCTGGTGGGCTACAGTCCATGAGGTCACAAAGAGTCAGACATAATTAAGTGACTAACACACTTTTCTTGAGGGCAGGGGCTGTGTCATACTCTGCTCTACATGCTAGCTCCTAATTCAGCAAGAAATGTCTTCTAAAGGAATTGATGGGTGGCATGAGCCAGGGCAGTGATTCACACCCACCAGCCCTGCCCTTGAGAACATCATAGTTAAGTGAAGGATACAGATACCTGCAGATAAACTGTAGGATTAAATGATAAAATGGCTGTGATTACCTAAATCCAAGTAGTATTTGATGAGGGCACAGGAAACCAGCGAAAGGTGCTGCATAGGTGGCTGAATGGGGTGGGAAACCATGCTAGAAGAGCAGATAGGGAGCTTTAATGGGCTGAATTTTGTCCCCCTCAGAAATCCCTATGTTGAAGTCAAACACCCTCCTTTCCCCCACCAGAGCGCCTCAGAATGTGACTGTATTGGAAACCAGGTCTTTTTAAAAGGTAATTAAGTAAAAAATGAGATCATTAGAATGGGCCCTCATCCAGGAATCTGACTGGTGTCCTCATAAGAAGAGGAAATTAGGACAGAGATGCACACAGAGGTAAGGGCATGTGAAGACTCAGGGAGAAGACAGCCAAGGAGAGAGGCCTCAGAAGAAACCAGCCTTGTCAGCACCCTGATCTGAGACTTCTAACCTCTAGAATTGTGAGAAAATAAATGTCTGCTGTCTGAGACACCCAGTCTGTGGTACTTTGTTATGACAGCCCTAGCAAAAAATACAGGAGCAGATTGTGAAAATTTACTAAGTCAAACTACAGAAATTAAACGCTATCCTGTAAGCTGTCAGAAGCCTCGACAGAGGTCTAAGCATCAAGGTGACATGAATAGGTTTGGTTCCAGAACATGATTTGGAGACAGTGGATATCAGGAAGTGGAGAAGGAAGGTGGAGTTGGCAGATCCATTGCTCCAATGAAGAATAAAACAAGTTCGAAGGGCCCTGGACAAAAATCATTGACAATGCGAATGGGTATCAGAGGTCCTATCAGAGAGATATTTGTGGGGCATAAGTAAGACAGTTTGGGGAAAATGAAGTGTAGGAGACGAGTAGGTAGATGAGGATAACATGAAGAAGTGTAGTTTGGGGAGTTGAGGGATGCCTCAGATCGCAACCGGTGATACAGAAGGTGAAGCAGGCGTAAAGAGGCGAAAAGATAATAAATGTCGTTTGGGATGAACGAAGTTTGAGACAGCTGCAGAGCGTCGAGCTGGATGTGTAGGATTCCGCCAGTCACGGGTGGTGGGGTGGTGGGAAGGGGTGGAGGGCCTCACGCGGAGTACCAGCGATTCAGGAGCCCCAAGACCATATCCTTGGGGTCCCCACAATGTGCGGAGAGAGAAGCCAACCAAAGGGCCCGTCCAAAAAGCAGCAGAATCGGGGCGAGGAGGGCCGCCCTCCAAAGGCCAAGGGAGTCAGCACTAGGAGTTGGTCGGTATTGGTAGTTTTCAAACGAAGGAAAGATTTTGCCCCTGCTGCAAATATCAGCTCAGGCTGGATCGCGTTTTTTCTCACTACCCCATAAAGTGGTTTACCTCTCTCCCGCACTTTGGTCAATCGAGGTAGAAGTGGCTGGCGGGTAACGGAGACCCAAGCACTATCTCAAGTCACGCAGGCAGTGACAGCTCCTGAAGCCCTTTGCCTGCGGGCAGGCAAGCGGGCGGGTCAGCGACTCCCACCCCGCCCGCGCCCTTCCACCCGAATGGAATGTGGGCGCCCGCGCCCGGGCTCCGGCTGCACTTGGAACTCCGGCCCGGACGCCGCTCCCGGAGCGCGCCGGCCGCGGGGGCGGCTTCCTCGCGCCTCCCCCTGTGCTGATGGCGGGCGGCGCGACGGCCGGCGCCGGCCTCGCTGCCCCGGGCGGCCTCCGCGAGCAGAGGGGCCTGGAGATCGAGATGGAGCGCATCCGGCAGGCGGCCGCGCGGGACCCCCCGGCCGGAGCCTCGGCCTCCCCCTCTCCTCCGCTCTCGTCGTGCTCGCGGCAGGCGTGGAGCCGCGACAACCCGGGCTTCGAGGCCGAGGAGGAAGAGGAGGAAGAGGAGGTGGAGGGAGAAGAAGGGGGAATGGTGGTGGAGATGGACGTCGAGTGGCGCCCCGGCAGCAGGAGGTCGGCCTCCTCGGCCGTGAGCTCCGCGGGCGCCCGAGGCCGGGGGCTGGGGGGCTACCACGGTGCGGGCCACCCGGGCGGGAGGCGGCGTCAGCGAGAGGACCAGGGCCCGCCGAGTCCCAGCCCCGCCGGCGGCGGGGACCCGCTGCATCGCCACCACCCCCTGGACGGGCAGCATCCCCGAGTGGCCTGGGCCGAGAGACTCGTTCGCGGGCTGCGAGGTAAGAGCGCGACCCTCAGCGGCTGATGCACAGACCAGAACTGCGGGCGCTGTGGGAGCCATCCCCCGGAGGGCAGCTCTCCCCGGCTCCAGCTCGCAACCCCTTGGCGTCCCCGCCTCCCTTGGAAGCGCCTTCCCCACCTCTGCGAATTCTGGTCTATTTCCGGTACCTAGCGCCTAATTCCACGGCGCCCTTGTTGGTGCAAATGTATTGGATACCTCCTTTTAAAAGAAAATTTGTCAGCTTATGTTTGCCTTTGGAAATAAGTTGAAAGTCGTATTAGAGTGAAGAGGGTACATCTGAAGATTTTTATCGTTTAGGGGGAAAAATATTCTAAGACTGCTAATGGTGGTTGCAACTGCATATTTGCTAATTTCACGAAATAAAAACGAAAATTCTGTGCTAGCACCCATGGTCCTCCACTGGCCTGGATGCCCTGTTGCCCCTTATCCCGTTCTGGAAAGGGTAAGCAACGCAGTGTCCCAGTTATGGGAGGGGTGTCATTGTGTAGTCACTGATGTTGTTTTGGTGATGTCTGGTGGCTTAGGGGAGAGGGAGCTGTTGAGAACACTACGAATAGAATAAAATGCTTAGGAAAACAGTTATTTGGCCATTTCTAATTCTAGGCATTTTTTCCCCTAAACAGTTGGAAAGTAAATGTTAACATTGTTTGAAAAACTTGAAAGTATGTTTTTTAAATAACTAAATTAATGTTCTTTGACATTCCAATGAAACAGTGAAGTCATCAGATACCAGCTGTGTGGAAATATGTCAGAGTTCGGTGCACCCAGCTCTCCAAAAGGCAGAAAAGGAATTTTCAAAAATTGCCAGTGCCTTTTAAGAGGACACACATTTTCCAGGAGCAGATGGGATCCTGTTTTTGCAAAGTTTTGTCAGAGGCATCCTTGGAAAAGAGTTGCATTTGGTCTTACCATCCAAATGATTTTAATCTCTGCTTTTAAGAGTTTTTTCCATTCTCAGTCTTTTGAAATTCCCCCTTCCCTTCCATTCCTGTCAGTTTTGAAAATGCTGCACAAAAAACTATCCAGGTATTTTCATAGCAACATGATTAACACCAAGTCAGGCTTATACCCGAATCCCAGTTCTACCACACGTTGACTGAATAGCCTTTAGCAAACTGCTTAATCGCTCTGATCTCCAATTTTTTAATTTTGTTTTAAAAAAGAGATAATCATAATACTTAGCTCTTAACATGGGAGAATTAAATGAGATGAGACATAAAATATGTAGCAATGTTGTTGTGATTGCTTCACAAGTAGAGATTAAATCGTGGATTCTAAAAGTGTACCTTTTGGTGCTCTTACATAGTGATTGTACTAGTTTAATTGTTTCAGAGCATGGTGGGGACCAAAAGATCCTTTTTAGTCACCTGTGTGAGAAGATTAGTAAAAAAAAACTCATTAATACTTTTTTAAGGTTCCAAATTGTATTCAAAGTTTATTTTGTTGAATATTTTTGAACTATGTATTTGAATATTTTTGAACTATATATTGAATATTTTTGAACTATATTCAAAGTTTATATCACTCTGTATTAATTGTGCTTTTTAAAATCTTCACTGAAATGAGAGGTTTCTTATAAGTTAATAAGTAATGGAAAGTCATGATTCTTTTAACTCAGCTTAAGTATTTAATAACACATTTCATATTATCTGAAAAAGCTCAATAATTGAATATAATTAAGTGAAATATGTGAGTGCATTTGTAAGTTTATTTCTTTTAGAGAAAAGTTTCAGAAAATTTACAGTGAATAAAGTAATAGTAAAATTTCTGGTCCAACCTTATCAGTGGTTGATAAGATCTCACCTTAATCAGTTAGGAGAGTAGAATCATGAGAATCTTTTTTTATAGAAAATTTTAGAAATAAATTTTAATTCTTTGTGAAGGAATATAATTGATATCCTTGTCACTTATTAAATAACCTTTGTTAGATAATCAGTAGTACCTCCTGTGAAGATAGACTGTTTTAGTTGCCACAGGAAAAAAAAAAAGAACTAAAATAACACATCACCATTTACCTATGGGCAGAAACCCAGAAATGTGAAATGAGTAACCCTAAATGAGTTGTGATATGTTTTTCCCTCATGGGATATTGTTATTGTTGTTTAGTTGCTAAGTCATGTCTGACTCTTGTGACCCCGTGGACTAGCCTGCCAGGCTTCTCTGTCCGTGGGATTTCCCAGGCAAGAATACTGGAGTGGGTTGTCGTTTCCTTCTCCAGGGGATATTCCCGACCCAGGGATCAAACCTGAGTCTCCTGCATTGGCAGGCAGATTCTTTACCACTGAGCTATCAGAGATCAAACCCCCGTCTTGGGATACAATGACAGAAATCTTTAGTGCATTATATAAGTAGTGCCCGGAGTCAGAAGAGAGAGAGTGACTTGGAATTTCTAAAGATAGGAGCCAAACTCAAGTTTGGCGTTTTCAGGCGCTTCCCTGGAGGTCTCACATCAGACTTCTAGCCTTAGTTTGTCATTTATAAAGTGGAAGAGTTGAACCTAATCTTCAAGGTCCCTTCTAGCTTCAGCATGCTGTTTAATGACATGAATCTGAGTTGGAAAACAAATGATCATTTCTCCTTGGACACTGAATAGATCTGTTCTCTTAGCAGAAGTAAGATGGCAAAGAAGACGTTTGAGGCCTAATTGTGGAAAGCATTGTGTCTAACCAAAGAATTAAGAAGTTACCTCTAAATATTAGGAAGCAGTTGACAGTTTTTGAGCAGGAGCAGAACATGCCGAAAGGGAATATGAGTCAGGCCTTGTGTGTGCAGGAGAGCTCACAGAGTGAGGTAGGGAGGCAGGAGGACCAGGTAGGGGGCAGCCAGCGAAGGGGAGATTGATGACCTGGACCAGAGGCAAAAAAAAGAAGGCTAAAAGATTGAAAGACTTCTCCAAGCTTAAAAACATCTCCAACCCAGTGATCTTGTTTACTTTTTTCTTAGCAAACACTTTTTAATGCAAAGATAAAATTTGAGACTCTATATGAGTTATCAGATTTTCTGAATTTCCAAAGTTGAATATGTTTTATGGATGTATCAGTTTATTAAAGTCATTTTCTGTTTACCGTTTCAGACAAATGTCATCACTGCCCGTGTCCAGAACTTTTTCATCATCCCAAACAAGTCTGCCCATTAAATACTAACTCCCAGCTCCCCCTCCCCCCATTCCCTGCCCTGCAGCCTCTCTGTCTTGATGAATTTTCCTGTTCTAGGTACCTCATATTAGTGGAATCATACAGTACTCTCACATCTGGCTTATTTCACTTAGCATAATGTTTTTAATGTTTACATATGCTGTAGCATGTATCTGAACTTCATTTGTTTTGATAACTGAATAGTATCCCCTTGTATGTATACACTACATTTTGTTTATCCGTTCATCAGTTGATGAACATTTGGGTTGTTTCTACCTTTTGGCTATTATGACTTTCCCTTTATTTTTAATCCAACCCTCACTCCATAATTTCTTCCTTTTTACCTTTTTATTTGCACTATAATTGTGAACAAATGAGACTTTGTATTTTCATTGTGAAGGGATTTTGTTTGAGGGAGGGCTGTTACTCTGTGGGGTATGATAAGACTCTGCTAGTAACAGAATTTGTGCAGGCAACAAACATTTATGGAGCATCTCTTTTGTGGTAGGTACTAGGGATACAGAGATGAATGATATAAGATCCCAACTCCCAAGGAGTTTAGAGTTTAGAAGGGGGATCACAGGTGTAAGTAAATAATTGCAGTGCCAGGTCCCAGATATGGCAGGTACCCAAAGACGAGAGGACCAGTTCTATCTGGGGAGGTTAGAAGTAAAACTTGAGTTACATTTTGAAGAATTCAGTGGGGGGAGTTGGGAAGGGAAGAATAGCAGAAGTAAGACCAAGATGGCCAGTACCTCACTGGTATTAATACTTTTTCCTATAGACAGAGACAGTGAGGGCTTCAAGCAGGGGGCTGATACAGTCACATGCCAACCTGAAGATGATTCTAGCAAGGATGTAGAGAATGGGGTGTGATGGAGAACAGGTTAAGAAAAGGTGATAAAGGCTGCAGCCATGGATTGTGAGCTGGGATGGAAGAAAGCTAGATTAAAGAGAGGCAGAAACCATCAGAATTGTGGACCAGCCCCATGTGATTGTTATGAAAAGGGACTATTCTAGAATGAAACCCGTGTTTCTGACTTGGTACCGTTAACCCACCTATTTAGCCACAGGGAAAACAGTTTTCTAGACAAAGGAAAAAAGAGAGACATCTCGGTTTGGGGCATGTGAGTATGAGTTGTCTGTGGAATATGCGTGTAATCTGTGACACATTCCTGTCTTCACCTCAGGAGGAGGCTGCCTAAGAATTGGAGACTCAAGTCAGTATCATTTAAAGTAGCAACTGACTGTTCTATAGAAAATGGACCAATAATAAAAAGTCACTTCCCTTTCTGAAGGTCTCCAAGAAATTCAAATGACTATTAGGAAGGATTGTATTCATCTTTCTAGCAAGGTCCACATGTGTCCAAGCACAAAAATGGGATTCTTTTATGACATGAATCCAATGAGAATTCGGTCAGGCTATTCACAGTGACTTCAAAGTCTATATGGATTTGGGTCTTCACACCAACTTAGCGTCAGAAGTAGGGTGTCTCACAAATTTGAACCTATTTCTGAAACCATAAATGGGCCTCTTCCAACCACTCTAAATCCTGTACATATATAAAATTTCTTATTCCCAGAGCAACCACAGAGAAGTACTCTTATCCCATTTCCAAATGAGGAAGTGAAGGCTCATGGTTTGAGGTAAGGTCTCATAGCTTCTAAGGGCTGATGCTTCATTTAAACACAGCTCAGACTCCAGACGGACAAGGCATGGGCAACCCACTCCAGTACTCTTGCCTAGAAAATCCCAGGGACGGAGGAGCCTGGTGGGCTGCCGTCTATGGGGTCACACAATCGAACACGGCTGATGCGACTTAGCAGCAGCAGCAGACTCCAGACCCCCACCACACCTTGTCATGATCAAGGTGTCCTGAAGGGTTAATGCATTTCAGATGAGACAGGGTTAATGTGAGGCAAAAGATCCACACTGAATCTTTTTACCATAGAACTGACAGATGTTATATTAACAAGATGAGATGCTATGATCACTGCAATTAGTTTCAAAATAATTGAGGAGGACTTCCTTGGCAGTCCAGTGGTTAAGGCTCAGTGCTTACAATGAAAGGGGCGTGGGTTCAATCCCTAGTCGGGGAACTAAGAGCCCACATGCCCTGTGGCATGACCAAAACATACAAAGAAACAAAAAAAAATTGAGGAGTTGGTGAGGGTTTTGAATAATCAAGGTTAGTGTGGAGTTGATGGTAATTGTTAAAGCTGGGTGAGGAATACCTGAGAGTTCATTATATTGTTCTCTCTGTGATATTTTTTATAAATTGCAAAATAAAAAGGGCTTAGAAGCATTTGGGCTTCCCTGATAGCTCAGTTGATAAAGAATACGCCTGCAATGCAGGAGACCCCAGTTTGATTCCTGGGTCAGGAAGATCCTTTGGAGAAGGGATAGGCTACCCAATCCAGTATTCTTGGGCTTCCCTTGTGGCTCAGCTCGTAAAGAATCCACCTGTAATGCAGGAGACCTGGGTTTGACCCCTGGTTTAGGAAGATCCCCTGGAAAAGGGAAAGGCTACCCACTCCAGTATTCTGACCTGGAGAATTCCATGGACTGTATAGTCCATGGGGTTGCAAAGAGTCGGATATGACTGAGCGACTTTCACTTAGAAGCATTTGGATAAGAGTTGCAAAATGGCATTTTTTTTCAAAATCTTTGTTGGCTGTGCCACACAGCCTTTGGGATCTTAGTTCTCCAACCAGGGATCAAACCCATGACCCTTGCATTGGAAGCCTGTAGTTTGTTTTTTTTTTTTAAGATTTTTTGGTAGACCTTTTTTTTTTTTACATCTTTTATTGAATTTGTTACAGTTGCTTCTGTTTTATGTTTTTTGACTGCAAGGCAGGTGGGATCCTAGCTCCCCGACCAGGAATCAAACCTACATCCCCTGCATTAGAAGACAAAGTCCTAACCAGTGGACCACCAGGGAAGCCCCATCAAAGTCAGTTATGTTGGAGGCATTTTTGGTGTTTTGGATTATCCATCTCAGAATTCCCCCATATGCATATTAATAAGGAACACTATTTAGGTAATGTGCTCTGACTTTGGGCTTTGGCATTGACTAAGCACCTTCTTACACAGGAAGGAAGTTGCATATTGTCCTGTGTCCTCTTAGGTCATATTCTGCTAACAGATGGAGACACGTTATCTATAGAACGTGAGTGCCTTCAGGCACTCCCTCCACAGCTGGGACAATGGTGGTAAAAGACAAGAGTTACTTTTGAAGAATGCTGCCATTTTGGACTTGAACTCTACCCTTAACCATTCCTATTGTATCATTCCTGCTAAACACGGGACGGGACGTAGTTGGCTGTAGGACAGCTATTTTTTCCATTTGTAGTTGTAGCCATTTCTCACCCATCAAGATGTGAGGGGGTCCCTGTATCCGAAGACTGACCCTACACACACAGCCAATGAGGAAACTCTAAAGTTTTTATAGCAATACATATTTGAGGATGTAGCTAGAGTAATTTAGAAAAAGCAAATGCATAGAAATACACTTTTATAGAATATAAATAAAAGGGCTTGTTTCTTTTTTTTTTTGAAATGTTTCCTTCAAGGGCTAGAATTAAATTACCATCGACCATTGCAAATTTAGCTTAAAGAAAATTTGATAGGAGTTTGGTTTTTCTATTTATAGGTCAAGCAAAACCATTTGTAAATATTAAGAACTATGACTTTTCCTTAGTGCATAATTGTTTATAAACCATGGGAAAGAGTGAAATCACTGACCAAGTGAAGCAAGGCAGCCGTCTCTCCTGATGGTCAAGGGACTAGCAATTTCCGCTTATGTGTATATTTTAGGCCTGGCCTCCAAAAGAAATACACCCAAAGAAATGGTGTGGTCGTGTCCAGGGCTACTGAGCCTAATATTTGGCTGCCTCTGTGTTATTCTGAGTTGTAATTTTCCATGTCATCTAAATTTGTAATAATTCTTTAATATGATAGAGCTTCAGTGAACAAACATTCTACTTGCTGCATTTCTTCTGAGTGAGTAATTCCCTGACAACTACCAGATCTTGGCAGAAGCAAACCTTGTCATAAGTTATGCTCCACTTTCGGCGTGGTGAAACCTGGGACGCGTAACACAGTGTCTTTGAAGGCAGATGCTGATTTTTCCAAAAGAAGTTTGAGGGAGAAAAAGAGAAGGAAATGAAATACCCCAATTTAGGAGTAGAACTAATGTATGATTATAAGACTTAAAAAGTACATAAACACTAGCGATGAAGTCATTTCTTCCAAGTGCAAGACCATATACCATTTCCCCCCGTTCTCTGTGGCTTGATTGTGGCGTCAGTGGCTGTGTGAGTTTCCATGAGGAAGGGGTTAAAGTCTGTATACTCAAGTGTGAGGCAATTTGCCATTAACAGCCGAGTTAATCTAACAAAAAGGATTGAGAGGTTTGTCTTTTTTGGAAAATGCTAAGGCTCTTCCAAGTAACCAGTAATGTGACTTGACCACACTGTTCACTAGCGGGGGTTTGGACGGCCACCATGTCTGTCTGCTGGCCGCGTCCAAAACTGCGGGATCGCACTCCAGCCAGCTCACCAAGGCTTATGTCATCTTTGCTCAGCCGGCCCAACACTTTTTCCATCTGCTAAAATGTGGAGCACGGTTGCTGATTTTACTCTTTCTCCAAAGACAGAGAGAAGGCGGATGAGTTGTTGCTTTTAATTTAAAAATCATATGCTACTTGAAATTTTAAAAATCTGTTCAACTAAGCATGTTTAGTGTAATCAGTCAGCATTGAATTTCTTAAAAGGCAAAAATGGGTACAGAGCAGAGATTTTACACCAGTGTGTTAGATTGATTGATATTTGATATTGATAGATGTTTCCTCAATGAAGTGATGCTCCAACCAGAACTTCTTTTTATCAGAGGTGACCTAAAATGTATCATTTACAATGTAGTTACTTAAGAGGATAATTAATTTCGTAGTACGATAATTCCTCCTGCATTAGGAAGAGCTGATATGTATGCACAATTATTTAACCTCCTCTCATAGGCTGCCCAAATTTCCTCTTCTCTTTCTATTTTTTTACTAAGATATTTTCTAATGAGGTTGGGAGCTTAGACAGTGATCAGATTGTTGCCTTGTGTTTTGCACATCTTGTGGGGATGAGACAGTGGAGACTGATGTGTTCCCAAATTAAAGGTACTTCTACTAAAACCATTTCTCAGTTGTTTTTAGAGCATGCTTAAAAAAAAACAAAACAAAACAGGAGAACCTCCCTTAAACTACACTATTTTTTATGTGTTTTTTTCTTTCGCCATTCATGAGATTTTTGAAAAATACAATGACATCTTTTATTATTATTTTAAAGGTCTCTGGGGAACAAGACTCATGGAGGAAAGCAGCACTGACCGAGAGAAATACCTTAAAAGTGTTTTACGGGAACTGGCCACATACCTCCTTTTTCTCATAGTCTTGTGCATCTGTAAGTAGAACGTTTCCTTCCAATAGAGGAACAGTTTTCAAAATATTTGACCTGTCAAACTCATGACTGAAAGGAACTATGGATGCACCTAAACAGTTACTTCAGAAGTCCTCTTCTCCGTTATTAATTCTAGTTTAGAATTTGGTAAAGTTCTCACCTCTCCTCAGATAAACGTTGATCAAAATTTGGCATTATCTGATTGGCCACTTCATTATCAGTTGTGACCATTTTCACTATGACATGCACGGAGCAGACACCAAGATTCCCAGACATCAAGAAACCAAGTAAAAGGACTTTTGTATTAGATGTTTTCAGCAATAATTATAGTGTCAGAATCATTACATCAGTTAGTGTAAAGTCTATATAGGAATTAAGTGGAGTATGCAGTTTAACTTTCAGAAAATACACATAGTGTCACTTAATACTGCTTTTATAGCTCTGTGTAGTTAAAAGTCCCTTTTTTCTGGATTTGGATGTGTTGTGTGAATGCCTTCGTTCTCATTCTTTCTTCCAAATCTTCAGTAATTGTGGCTTTTCACTCTACAGAAAACTTACTGCAGACTCATCTCCTTCTTTCAATACATACCCACATCCTCTGAGAACTGGGGAGGGATACCTCAGCTAGAAACATGTCTTTGAAACCATGTGCCTCAAAATCCAGAAAGTCATGGGCAATGGATTACCTCTGAATCAAAGGATGTCGGATGATAGAGTGCTGTCCTGTCCCATATAAAACCCTTTATGAGAACAGAGAGGAAACAGGTTTATGACCAACAGGCCCTCTTACCATATTCCTCAGGGAAAGGAGTTTATTCTTACAGTGTCCACTAAGAAATGCTTAAAAATCGACACCACTCTTGGAAAGTGTCCCCTTCTTTGTATATGGACAGAGTTAGGATTTAATCAATACTTTAAAAATGCCTTTCTTATTATATTAAAATTGACCACCTTGAATTTAACTGAGTGCTAAAAGCTTACTTAAAAAATGGGTTTTTTTTAACTAGATTTATAAAAAGATGTGTAAGTTGAACATAAAAGATTAAGACAACATTTAAGTTTTGATATTTATAATTTTAAGAAATTAAATATTGATTTATTTAACATCCCCCACACTGGTTTTTATTACTACTAGTAAGCTTTTAATGAGCTTCAACAGAGCATGACTTCTTCTTACACTTTCTGAGACTTTGCCTATCCGAATGGGAACTTAAGGGGGAAAAAAAAGTTAGTTAAGCTAAAAAGTGTATATGTATGAGGGGCTTCCCTGGTGGTTCAGTGGTAAAGAGTCCACCTGAAATGCACGAGACACGGGTTCGATCCCTGGGTCAAGAAGATCCACTGGAGAAGGAAATGGCAACCCACTCCAGTATTCTCACCTGGGACATCCCATGGACAGAGGAGCCTAGTGGGCTATAGTCCATAGGGTCACAAGAAAGTTGGACACAACTTAGCAAATAAACAACATATATGTATGAACAACATCCATTTTCTTGCTTTTTTCTACCTAATTATGTGAAAATTTCTGTTATTTGTTTAGGAAAAAATCTTTCATTACTTTTGAAAAAACATGTTATCTAGGCAGTGCTGAAAATCTAGAAATGATCTATTCAGTTCTTTAAATGTTATAAAGCAAGAGATGGGATACTTTGAACTTTTATGTTCTGTGCTGTTAGAATAAATACTAAAGTCAAGTTTGCTTTCCCTGTAGAAATGGTGCTTAAATATTAAACTGTGTTGTTTTTGTCCAGTCACTCAGTCATGTCCAACTCTTTGCAACCCCATGGATTGCAGCATTGCAGGCTTGTCTGTCCTTCACCATCTGCCAGAGTTTGCTCAGACTCATGTCCATTGAGTCAGTGATGCCATCCAACCATCTTGTCCTCTATCATCCCCTTCTCCTGCCTTCAATCGTTCCCAGCATCAGGGTCTTTTCTAATGTGTTGGCTCTTTGCATAAGGTGGCCAAAGTATTGGAGATTCAGCTTCAAAATCAGTCCTTCCAATGAATATTCAGGGCTGATTTCCTTTAGGATTGACTGGTTTGATCTTGCAGTCCAAGGGACTCTCAGGAGTCTTTTCCAATACCACAGTTCAAAAGCATCAATTCTTTGGTGCTTAGCTTTCTTTATGGTCCAACTCCCACATCCATACATAACTACTGGAAAAACCATAGCTTTGGCTAGACGGACCTTTGTGGGCAAAGTAATGTCTCTGCTTTTTAATATGCTGTCTAGGTTTGTCATAACTTTTCTTCCAAGGAACAAGTGTCTTTTAATTTCATGGCTGCAGTCACCATCTGCAGTAATTTTGGAGCCCAAGAAAATAAAGTCTCTCACTGTTTTCATTGTTTCCCCATCTATTTGCCATGAAGTGATGGAACCGGATGCCATGATCTTAGTTTGCTGAATGTTAAGCTTTCAGCCAACTTTTTCACTCTCCACTTTCACTTTCATCAAGAGGCTCTTTAGTTCTTCTTCACTTTCTGCCATAAGGGTGGTGTTATCTGCATATCTGAGGTTATTGATATTTCTCCCAGCAATCTTGATTCCAGCTGTGCTTCATCCAGCCCAGCATTTCACATGATGTACTCTGCATATAAGTTAAATAAGCAGGGTGACAGTATACAGCTTGACATATTCCTTTCCCAATTTCGAACCAGTCTGTTGTTTCATGTCTGGTCTAACTATTGCTTCTTGACCTGCATACAGGTTTCTCAGGAAGCAGGTTAAGGTGGTCTGGTATTCCCATCTCTTGAAGAGTTTCCACAGTTGTTGTGATCCACACAGTCAAAGGCTTTAGCATATTCAGTAAAGCAGAAGTAGATGTTTTTCTGGAATTCTCTTGTTTTTTATACGATCCAACAGATATTGGCAGTTTGATGTCTGGTTCCTCTGCCTTTTCAAAATCCAGCTTGAACATCTGGGAGTTCTCAGTTCATGTACTGTTGAAGCCTAGCTTGGATAATTTTGAGCATTATTTTCTAGCATGTGAAATGAGTACAATTGTGAGGTAATCTGAACATTCTTTGGCATTGCCCTTTTTTGGGATTGAAATGAAAACAGGCCTTTTCCAGTCCTGTGGCCACTGCTGAGTTTTCCAAATTTGTTGGCATATTGAGTGCAGCACTTTCACAGTGTCATCTTTTAGGATTTGAAATAGCTCAGCTGGAATTGCTTCACCTCCACTAGCTTTGTTCATCAAAATGCTTCCTAAGGCCCACTTTACTTTGCCTTCCAAGATATCTGGCTCTAGGTTAATGAGCACAGTTCATGGTTATCTGGGTCATTACGATCTTTTTTTTTGTATAGTTCTTCTATTTATTCTTGCCACTTTTTCTTAATATCATCTGCTTCTGTTAGGTCCATATTGTTTCTGTTCTTTATTGTGCCCATCTTTGCATGAAATGTTCCCTTGGTGTCTCTGATTTTCTTGAAGGGATCTCTAGTCTTTCCCATTCTGTTGTTTTCCTTTGTTTCTTTGCATTGTTCACTGAGGAAGGCTTTCTTATCTCTCCTTGCTATTCTTTGGAACTCTGCATTCAAATGGGAATATCTTTCCTTTTCTCCTTTGCCTTTCACTTTTCTTTTCCCACCTATTTGTAAGGCCTCCTCAGGCAACCATTTTGCCTTTTTGCATTTCTTTTTCTTGGTGATGGTTTTGATTGTCGCCTCCTGTACAATGTCATGAACCTCTGTCCATAGTTCTTCAGGTACTCTGTCTATCAGATCTAATCCCTTGAATCTTTGTGTCACTTCCACTGTATAATTGTAAGGGATTTGCATTATGCCATACCTGAATGGCCTAATGGTTTTCCCTACTTTCTTCAATTTAAGTGTGAATTTTACAATAAGTAGTTCATGTCTGAGCTTCAGTCAGCTTCCAGTCTTGTTTTTGCTGACTGTATAGAGCTTCTTCATCTTCGGCTGCAAAGAATATAATCAATCTGATTTTGATATTGACAGTGTGGTGATGTCCATGTGTAGAGTCGTCTCTTGTGTTATTGGAAGAGGATGTTTGCTATGACCAGTACGTTCTCTTGGCAAAACTCTGTTAGCCTTTGCCCTGCTTCATTTTGTACTCCAAGGCCAAACTTGCCCGTTACTTTAGGTATCTCTTGGACAGAGAGGCCTGGCATGCTGTGGTTCATGGGTTTGCAAAGAGTCGGATACGATTAAGCGACCAAACTGAACTGAACTGAACTGACTTCCTACTGTGCTTTCCAAATACTAAAAGTTCAACAGGTATATTAGAATCATTATTACTATTGTTTTTTTCAAGCATGACACATATTCATACACATATATTATGCAAAATACAAAAATTTGTATAAGTAAGTCTAAGATTTCAGTGTTCCCCTAAATTGCCTGAACATCAGAATCACTGAGAGAATTTTTTTTTATAATTATAGCATGCCCAGATCTGCTAAGTCAAAGCCTTCCAATTGTGGCTCAGAGAAGTGAGTTTTCAGATACACTGACAAGGTTTGGGAACTAGGCCAGATAAATAAACTAAATAGCTAGCTAGAGTTTTAGGAAATAAGCTTGTCATATAACTAACTTGTCATTTCTTGTTTATTTTAGAATTTTTATGCTTTTTGTTCATTTTCATACTCATCACATTTTTTTTCTTATATCAGCTACCTTTTATTTACATCAAAGTTTTATTTTTACATCAAAGTTTATTATTTTTTATTTTTTTATTTTTACATCAAAGTTTATTGTAGAATCTCTGGGTAAGAGGGAATTTTGGCAGTCATGGATCAAGCCTTCTCTGAATGGTAAAATTCCCTCCTCTGCCTGGCAACATCTTTCCTAAAAGGTCAGTCATCCTGCCTCTGACTGAGCAAGAGTTCCAGATTAAGGAATTGACTCCTTTGAAATAGTTCATTTCATTTTTCTATGACTGTGTTGGAAAGTTTGGAAAGTTCTTCCTTATGCGAAGCCAAAGTCCATCCTCATCTAAGTTCCCCTCTTAGTTCTACTCTTCAAGCCCACCTAATAC